AGCGCCGCATTTAAGTTCGTCATCTTCACATTCAAAATAAGTAGCTTTCTTTTACTCCTTTTAATCACTAGTTACTGGTTTTAGCCACAAAAAAAGTAGCTATTCTTCACCGAAAACCACCTTGAAATAGCTGCTAATCCAGATCCAATAACTATCTCAAAAATCAACCACAAACACCCGTTAAACCCAGCAAAAATAGCTACGAAAATGACCTAAAAACAATCCCCTTTTCGCACAAAAGGAGCAGCTCCAAAGTTGAGTGAAGCGAGGTTGTCGAGTCTTCGATTGAGATCTTGTTCGAGATTCACGATTCCGATCCCGTAAGCTTCGTATTGATATGTTCTAAACAGACGTGACTAGTAGTTATTGAGTTTTATATGTAAAATTTCATTATAATTCGAAGAAAGTGTCATATTGAGGTGCATTCTTAATCCTTCCTCTATTGGTTTTGCCCCTTTTTAATTCGTATATGGTTTCTGCCATAAGATTTGGATGAACGATGATACTTTTTCCTTATATATATATATATATGAAATATCGTTGCAGATTTTATTATAATAGCTTACTTGGTTTAAATCTACTAGTAATTGGTCTAAATTGATAAGTGTGCCATTTTGATTACGTAATTGGGATGTGTAATGATCTTATGGTTTCATTTTATTATTTTAAATGATTACTAATTTATAGATTATCGCCTGGCTTGTTTAATAATTAAAATTTCATAATTATCAAATGCTTCCACCAACTTAGATATATCAGCTATCTTGCTAATTCTCCTTAATTAAATTTTACACTTCATCCACAAAAGACTTTCGTAACTCATGACCTCACAATAATTTTAAATGTAACGAAAATTAACAATTCATGAATATGTTAGTGTGCTTTTAGGAACACTCTTAATTAATAAAATTATCGTGATTATGTATACGTTCGCGTGACATAATTACGATTTTCAAATTTAAAACTAAGGTATGCGTTCGCGCAACTTTGGGGAAAATAATCTTAATAATAATAAAGTGTTATCGATTGTGTACACGTACTCGTGACATGATTTTGACATACAAAATAAAACGAATACACGCACATGCGGTACGTTTCAAGATAATTCCATAATTATAAATATAAAGTAATCTAAAAGCGGTAAAAAGGTAAAAATGTACATAAGCTTTAAACACATAAGATATTTCAGATAATTAAGTCAAGTATGAATTATTAAGCGACCGTGCTACAACCACGGAATTCAGGAGTGCCTCACACCTTCTTCTGAGTTAACAGAATTTCTTACCCGATCTTCTGTGTTTCGCGGACCATATTCAGAGTCAAATTTCCTTGGATTGGGATTAATAAATTTGATGATTTGGAACACCGAAAATACATAATTCCAAGTGGCGACTCTTTAAAATTAAAATAAACAATCCATTTTCAAATAATGTCACTTAAATCAGAAAAATGCTTTTTCCCGAAAAAAAAGAGGTGTGACATTTGGCATCTACTTGAGGCTTTAGGACGGATTTGAGGACCGGAGGTGAGCTTGAGAACAAGGTAAGTCTATTGCCTAACCTTGTAAGAGGGAACTCACCCCCTTAGGTATATTTTGTTGTGAATTACTTATGTGGGGAGCTGCGTACGCACTAGGTGACGAGAGCCCGTGCGTAGCTATATTCCATGTGATGTCCGAGTAGTCTTAGATTTACATCATATCTTGTTTGCACTATTATGTTGATTATGCTTATTAATTGTCTTGAATAGAGCTGAGATTAATGATTTTTAGATTTAAAGTCTCTAGTTTGGATTTCTTATGTTTGGAAAGAATTGAAGAATTTTATAATAACTCTGATAAATCCATGTTCGCTCGCGTCGCAAGTAGTTCCGCGAGTGAGGTAAATTTCCCCTACTCTCATGGGAGCAGACCGTTCGTCTCGGTAGGTTAATAGATGCATCTATGGTTCGTGTCGTTCGACCCTCGGCAGTACACACAGTATATTTCTGAATCGGGCCGTACGACTTCGGCATAAATCGTGTGTGATAACACTCGGAGCCTAATTATACTTGGTATTAATTTATGGCTTGAGCGGTTATAATTATTTAAATGACAGGAATTGACTTGAAATTTATTATTAGTGAAAGAATTATTATTCAATGCTTGTTACTAAGTTGTATTAATTATTTACATAATCCTTGCTTATTTATAATTCCTGCATTTTATTGTTAGCCCATAGTAAGTGTCGATGTCGATCCCTCGTCACTACTTCTTCGAGGTTAGACTAGATACTTACTGGATACATTTGTTTATGTACTCATACTACACTTCTGCACTAACCGTGCAGGTTCCGAGGCAGGTGCATCTGGTGGTTATCCCGACGCGCACTCCTAATACCCCGAGACTTAGCGGTGAGCTGCTTCCCGAGCCCGTTCTGCAGCACCCAAAGTCTTTCTTTGATGTTTTGTTTTTTGCCTATTTTATTTCAGACAGTAGCTTAGTATTTTTGTATATTCTACTAGTAGCTAATACACTTGTGACACCAGGTCTTGAAATTTCGCTAGTAGACACTTGATGGTTTTGAGTATTTACTTCACCACATTTGCTCTTATAATTGTTTACACTTCATTTTACTAAACTTCTCACCTCTTATTTAATAATTAAAAATTAACTTATTCTAAAATGTTAAAAGAATAAACACGTGGTTAGTGTACCGTTGGCTTGCCTAGTGGCAACGTTGGGTGCCACCACAGCCTGTAGGAAAATTAGGCCGTGACATCTTCATCTTCTTCTGTCATGCTGAGGCCCTTTTTTAACAAGTCGCTTGGGATTGATATTCCTTGGTAACAATAATATAGAGATAATCCGATGAAATTCATCTATTTGTTTTTTGGTTTTAATTATTTTGATTGCGATTGGTTAAATTTAATCTGCAATATACATATGTTTTTACTATTTTTCTCCGCTCTTTGTTTCTTTGAATCGATCCGCGCATCGCGCGAGTACATATACTAGTTTTTAATAATATTAGAACAACAATTGGAATTTTGACTACGAATAATTTAAGAATAAAACTAATAATCCATGCTAAATTTACAAGATATTATTAGATATTCTTCCTTAATTAGGATAGGCATACCATTGTGGGGTACTTAAGATAAAACATACACATTGCCTTTGTAAGGACATAATAATCAGACCTCAAGAAAAGGATCTAGATATTACCATTTACTGTATAGAGTAATGTAAAAGAGGTTAGTAAAAGTTCCCATAACCATGGTTAAGTCATCAACTTGATAAGGAGCTTTATTTTATTTGAACATGTAAAACAGTTGGATATTTGTCAAATATTCTGAGCATATAATTATTTAATTATTTGCCTCACACTAAACAAGTAAATTAAAAATTCCGTGAGCTGAGCTGGTCATCTATAACATGGGATTATTGGAAAGGCAGATAGTGGTAATGACTTCTTTGATCATTTCGTTATCTTTATTAATTCTTTTTTCCGGAGGAAAAATCCAATTCTTCAAATTATTTTGCAGGGACGGGCCATCAACAGATTTAAGATTATAAACTAAATAGGATATTGTTTAGAATTTGTAAAAATGACACTAGATAACCACTCCAAATGGCTGTTATTTAGAAATTAGTCAGTGCGTTCTAAATTTCAGTTTTTCAAGATAAAAATGTCCTGAATTGTCCCGAAATTAAGATTTTTAGTTTAAAATTTCAGGACAAAATAAGTACTGACTAATATCTAAATAACATCCCTGATAATGACTATCTGCGTACCTGCCTCTTAGAATTTTGCAGAAAATTAGTAGGCGTTTGGACATGAATTCCAAAAAAAAATTCAAAAATTTAGGTTTCTATTCAACAAAAATTTAAGGCCATGTCACATTGCTTTGATTGGAGGTCTCACAGCAACTCCCTCTTATCAACCTTAGGAAGTAGAAGGCCATCTATTTCAACCAAAGAGATGTTAGTTTCAACATGCATCTAATTATTTGATTAAGAAAAGGTATTATTCAGGAGTAAAATGATAAAAGACTATCCAAGTGTGCTTAAACTTTGAAAATATGAAAATACCCTTCCTTTTATAGACCCTTCCTTTTTATATATAATCATCTTATATATAGAATTTGCTTATCTAGTTAATTTAGATTCATTTTATATGTGTACGATTCATTAAAGAAAAATTCGCTCCATGTCCGGGATTTCTTTTATTCCCAGAGCTTGTTTAGAATGATCTTCAACATAATACATAATACTATTATTTTTTGTCTTTTCAACGTTCATATATATATANTTCATGATATCATGCACCAACAATATGAAAAATAAACTTGTAATATTATTAAAAAAAAATAAAGTTTAAAGTAAAATTATTATATATAAAAGGTAGGGTTGCAGATAAAATAGAATCTATATAAATCTATATAAAGCCCGGCAATACAAACCTAACGTCGTGGCATCTCTCAAATACCAAGGTTTCTATTTATCTCTTTTCTTAGAGCTTTGTCTTTTTAAATAAAGAGAAAATCTTTTTCGACTGAGAAATAAACTGTCTCGTATTTTTGTAAATTCCATCGGTTACAGTCATGTATCAAGGCAGAAACCCCCATCAGTCGCTTCTCCTTACATGCCTTTCGTAACAGTCGCTAACTCTCCCTCTCTTAATTACCATACTTGCTTTCTCTTCAATCCTCTGTGTTTTATTACTCAATTCTGTTTTTCCAATCGCCACATAGGAGTTGTTTCTCTCGATTCTCAAGGTAAATCTCTTCTTTATGATTTTGAAACATAGTTATTCTCTTTCATGTTTAGTTTGTTTTCTCCGCGTTCTAACCAGAGGCGGATCCAGAAATTTAATTTTATGGGTTCAAGATTTAGACTCTAGGATATACCTCAAGGTACTATACAATAATAATCGAATGAAATACGAACAATGATATTTAATATATATGTAACAAGTACCGAACCATCTAACCTAATATATGTTCAATAAATATCACCATTACAATTGTACCCGACGGGTTGTCATGTTTTGAAAATGATCAATAATCGCATCATTAGGTACACTTTCAAATACTTTATCTTCTATATAACAAACTAAACAGTCATTCAAAAATTCATCACCAATTCTGCTACGCAAGTAATTTTTGATGTACTTCATTGAAGAAAAAGCTCTTTCTACTGTTGCAGTAGCGACCGGCAATATCAGACTTAACTTCACAAGCAAAAACACAAGTCTCCAAGTCTTGTACAAATCTGTTTCAACTAATGTTTCTGAAAGATCTCCAAGTCCTTTCAAGTTACAGACATCATTGTCTTCTTTCACAAAGAGAATATAGTTGTCAAGCTCGTAACTGAGATCTTCAAGCTTTGAACCACTGAACTAATGAGGATAAAGTGTAGCAAGTTTTATAATTCTGTCTTTATCATAATTTACAAAAGAATTATCCGGACTCAAACTAGCCATACCAAGAAGTAGATTACTATTCACTGCATCAAAACGACTGTTAAGCTCCGAAAGTTGCAAATCAATAACAGTATTAAAAGCTTCGACACGCAAATGATGAGAATATGTAACACTTGAACTCCTACGCTTTGACTTTCCAAGATGATAGTTCTTATCCATTTCAGGGATCACAATATCATGCTTGGAACAAAATGAAGAGGCGTCATCTATCAATGATTCCCATTTAGATTCTCTCTATCACTTGCAATTGCCTCTTGGCGAAACCAACAAGCTTCATAGCATTTACAATATCCTGATCTTTTCTTTGCAAAGCTATATTCAAATCATTTGTGATTGCTAATAATTTTAACATCAAAAATATCATATGCACAAACTCAAAAGATCTTATGTCATTTACTAGACTTTTTGCCACTGATCTCTCAAGATAATTTACACCCTCACTTGCAAGAAACTCAAGTACATTAATGATTGACGAGAATAATGCAATAAAATTACGCACTGTCTTAAAATGAGAACCCCATCGGGTATCACCTGACCTTTGGAGTCCAAGTTCTTGATTTAGTCCACTTCCTGTATGAACTTCACCAAGCACTTGTAGCTCCTCTAGTTTTTTCGCCTGATCCTCTCGTAGCATATTCCTACGCTTAAAAGAACTTCCAACAATATTCAAGACATTAGCAACAATATCAAAAAATTTATCTACATCATAATATTTTTTTGCAACGGCTACAAGAGTCAATTGCAATTGATGGGCAAAGCAATGTATACAATATGCCGAAGGATTATCTTTCAGAATTAAAGTTTTAAGACCATTGATTTCTCCTTGCATGTTACTAGCTCCATCATAACCTTGTCCCCGTATTTGAGATGGACTCAATGAGTGCTCTAAAAGCAAATCATAGATTGCTTTTTGTAATGACGATGAAGTTTTTTTTTTTAACATGAACAATACTAAGGAATCGCTCAATAAGTTTTCCCTCTTTGTTGACATACCGCAGAACAAGAGCCATTTGTTCCTTATGAGAGACGTCCTTAGATTCATCAACCAAAATTCCAAAATAATCTCCATTTAAATCTTCAACTATTGCTTTAATTATTTCTTTCGCACAAGCATTCACGATCTCTTTTTGGATATTTGGAGCAATCATCATGTTATTTTGTGGAGCACTTTGTAGCACAACTTTTTTCACTTCATCATCCCTATCTGCATACCATTGTAAGAGTTCTACAAAGTTTCCTCTTTTAATAGAAGTTTCACCTTCATCGTGGCCCCGGAAAGACATTCCTTGTTTTAAAAGAAATTTTGCCACATCAATCGAAGCATTCAACCGAACTCGATAATCACTTTTAATTTTTTCAGACTGCTTGTCAAAAGAGGTTAGAATTGATTGCTCTTGATTAATTAAATCTCTCATCATCATAAAACATCTATTGTGAAGACTATTCACCTCTCCAATATGTGCGTTAAGCCTTTCTGTAGCTTTATTCCAAGCTCTAAAACCATTCTTTGTGAAAGAATCCCCAACTTTTCCATGTCCTCCATGCTCATTTTTAAACAAGTAACAACATAAGCAAAATGCTGCATCAACTTTAACACTATATTCTAACCATCCAGAGTATGAAGTGTTAAACCATTCAAGATTAAATTGACGCATAAATCCACCAAAATCTCTTTTTGGAAAACTACAATTATGAGGTTGACAAGGTCCTTGTTGAATATAATATCTTCTCACTCGGTCACGTAAATTCGGAGGATACTTTGAAATTTGCTTTCTTTCTGCGGGATCAGGTTCAAGATTCAAATTCAATATTTTTTCTTTGTTTGAGACCGCCGAAGGATTGAGATTGTCATGAATAATTGGACATGAAAAAGAACTCGGCATAGGAGGACTAGAACCAGAACCAGAACTTTGAGGAGTTGGAATAGCCTTGAAAAATTTCGTGATCATATCCACACTCACTAAAAAGATCCTAAAAATCACAACAACAAAAAATTACGCTTCAAGGTGTAATTGAAACTTAATCCAACCAAATTAATATTTCAACAACTTAAGTACTTATGAAGTTGGAGTTAATATGATACAATATCCCTAGGCCTAAAAGTAAGATTAGTTTAGGAAAGGATTGACTAGTAATTAAGTTGATATAAAAAGTTAAATTTAAATTCATTAATTTACTTAAAGTTTAATTATTATTTGAATTATTATATCTTAAACTTCTCAATGTAAGGTTCACATTTCACACCCTTTCTATAGTACATAGAGCAGTATTTTCTTAGGAGACAAGTTGAATCAAGACAAAACCCATCAATACAAAGCAATCTTATCATCTCTCTATTCCTTGTTTCTCTAACTATTTTCTATAAAAATAAGCTGAACTGCTTTGTGAAAAGAAAAAAAAAAAAGACAAGATCAAAAGTCAAAACACATCCTTTTAACCAAAATGCAAGAACCAAGAACAGCAGTGGCAAATCTTGTAACTTATAATTAATAAATATTATTGCATTATTATTGACAAAGAGCAATAGAGGCATACCAGCAAAACTAAAGAAGAGGATTGATTGCAGTTTATGTCCAAGAAGAACTGAAGAAGAGCCTTTGCTTTGATTCTTTTGAAACCCTAGCTTTAAAAATTTGGAAACCGTGAACCTTCTGAAAATGAAAGGTTTTGATCTCTTAAAGTTTTGTGAAGACCAACTTGTTTATAATTATTAAAAAGCCCCACAAATTAATGAAGTACACATTAAAGAATAAAATTAATTAGGTGGTCCTCATCTTTTAAGGATAAGAAACGGACCTCTTTAAATGAGAAGGGGCAAAAAAAGCCCATAAGTAACAAAGAAGTCAAACAGTAACTTAAATAAAATTGCAATAAAAGTTGTGTACACAGAGATTCGAACTCAAGTCTTCTCGCAATAAGTGAAACTTCGCCCATCAGTTTTACCACTGAACCCATAGCCTCATTTAGTCTATGGGTTCAAACACTAATATATGATCATATTTCAGTAATTTTGCACAGTATATTCTCGGGTTTTGTCGAGAGTTATGGGTTCAATTGAACCCGTATCTATAACACTAGATCCTCCCCTGGTTCTAACCTGCAAGTGAAGGTATCTCTATTATTATCTATTCCCAATTTCAATATTTTAATATTTTGTTATTTTATTATTCAATGAATATTCTTTGTTTGTTGTTGTTAACTCTTGAAATATTTCACAAAATTTTTAATTGTTGCTTATTGCAAGTGCTTACTAAGTTTATTCTGTGAAAAAATCAAATTAACAGGACATGTTACGGTGATGCCCATGAAGTGTTCGACAAAAAACCCTATAGAGATACATTTTTCCATGGCTGCAGGACAAACCACTCAATAGATGCAGGTCAGTAATTGTTTTACACTCTTGTATAGTGTGGAGAAAAACGAAACAAACGTCCTTGAATAATTGTGATCGTTCAATTATACAACAACAACAACAACCTAGTATAATCCTACTAGTGGAGTCTGGGGAGGGTCGTGTGTACGCAGACCTTACCCTTACCCTGGGTAGAGAGACTGTTTCCGATAGACCCTCGGCTCACTCCCTCCAAGAATTCCCCACCTTGCTCTTGGGGTGATTCGAACTTACAACCTCTTGGTTGGAAGTGGAGGGTGCTCACCTGTATAATTGATCGTTCAATTATACAATGTCTCTAAATGTTCATTATAGTTTAGTCATATGGAGTTTCGATTATTAGATTCTTAATTTCCTGTTAATTCATATTTTCTTTTGATTATACCGAATTCTTGTATATTAGTATTACTATATTTTCCTGTTATTATTTACTGCTCTACTCTTTCATGTTCTTATTTACGAGCGACTAATGCATTTAACATACAAGCAACATTTTAATGATCAGAAAATGACTTATTTGCAGCAACATTGCAATGCTTAGGAATTCTGTTTTTACATTTTTTTTTTCATATTCTTGCCTTTTTATCGAAGTGTTCTCTCTCTTCCTTAGATCATGTTGTTTCTGTCTTTTTGGGGGGTTTGACATTTAAATGAAGTATAAAGATAGCTTATAAGGTGATCAACTTTTATACAATGGGGGTTGGGGGTGGGGTGAGGGATAACGAAAATGCCTATCTAACAGCTATCGGAACGGTTAAAACTTATTAAAATAAAGGTGACAATTAAAGTTGCAAAACCAGTAGTTTCTCTCACACCCCATTTTTACCTTAGCTTTCAATCAACCCATTATAATTGCCCACCACAATGGGGCAATATCAATCTAACGGGGACAATTGTTTTGTGATGCTCTTAAAATTGAGAAAATGAAGCTTGTGAAGAGAACACTCAATGGCGCGATGATATAAACTACATGCACTTACTCTTGCAAAAGATGCAGTATCAATAATTGGCAAATTTGAAGCAACAACTTGCTTTTCCTACAAATTTGGGGATGCCTTCTTATCTTTTATCATACAAGATTTGACCATAATTGTCTTTCTCTTCATCCTCTGTTTCTTAGTACTCTTCTTTTTTTCAGATCGCCACTGAGAAGTTATTTCTCTCATTCTCAAGGTAAATCTCTTCTTTGTGATTTTGGAACATAGTTATTCTCTTTCATGTTTAGTTTGTTTCCTCTACCTGCAAGATGATGGTATCTCTATTGTTATCTATTCCCAATTTTAATATTTAAGATTGTCTTTTGTTATTCAACTTCTGGAATATTTCACAAAATCTATAACTGTTGCTTTTGATTCTTTTTGGGTATTGGACTTTTTAGTTTCCATTGTCTCCAACATTCTTTTTCAACATAAACTTTGTGGTGGTTGATAACTTTTTCATTTGATTAGTGCTAATAGATATTTAGATCTGTTATATTAGCTGTCATGCTATGTTTGATTGTTCCTACTATTTTTTACTTTCTATTTCGCGAAAATTTGATTTTTTGGGATTTTTTCCACTTTGTTCTATTGAAAATTAAAATTTATCTTGAACTTGGAGTCCTAAATGTCAGCGACAAGCGTAAGGCCTTGAAGACAATCTCTGCTATTCTAGGTATTGAAATAGTTGAAATTTCCTTTGTTTTCCACCAATCAAGATTTCATACTTACAAAACGTTAATGGTTCAGCTCTAATTTTCTTGCTTTTCTTTTTCCATATGAGTATGTGAATAACCTTGCAGTATAGTCAATCTGGAGCATGATTGACTCAATGGTATATTTTACTCCTTCCATAGTTTGCCAATCAGTCATTTATAGAATATTTTGTGAAATTGAATCCACTATTTGTTAGTATTATGTGAAATTGAAGTCAGTTATTTTTCTACCTCAGGCAACAGACTTTTGTATAATTGCGTCGGCCTAAAAGAAATATAGAATCAAACATCTATTCTTTTTCTCTGAGTTGCTTTCATTCTCAAGTTTATTCTTCGTGTGGTCTATAGCCGCTCAATCTAGAGTAGTTGTCATTCTTCTCAACTTGACATTTTAGCTTTCATCACTTTAAATGACCACATTTAGAGGCTATAATACTAGAACAAATGAAGTTGGCAGCAATTGTGTGGGAACCCCTTTGTTAAAGGGGTTGAGTCTGAGAATAGCTAGAAATCACATAATCTCTAAGGATCAACTATAGTTAGTCGGCTTGTGGTTAGTTTTCTACATGTTACGTTTATTCATTGAGGTATATCATAGTCTAATAATTAGTGTTTGTGATGTACCAAAATCTTTCAACGACATCTTTGGCAGAATTCAGTTTGCTAATTATTGAAAGAAGCCAACATTCGTTTATTCCTTAGGGAAAGAAGATAGAAGCTCATATTTTTTTATACATAAAAGAACTAGGTAAGTCTGGCAACGAGGGAGCAAGAGTCGTGCTTACCCTTTGAGATGGAAACAAAGATGGAGGTTTAGCGCAAATGGAGCTTTGCAAGTTCATAAATGTCTTCTACGTAGTCGAATGTATCTTAGCAGTAGGATTTACACAAAACTAAGTTTGGTTCCTTCTCTTCTTTAAAGTCTATTTGTAACGTGATAGGACTATCTTTTAAGAATTAGTGCAGTTCATGATTATTTGTTACACGATTATCAAATTTTTACTAAATTAATTTAACAAACTCAATTACTGTAGTTTTGATGCCGTTTTTTATTTTTGGGTCTATTTTTAACTGGTTATTTTATTTTATTTTGAATGTGATGAGATACTTGATGATTTTTATTCCTTAATTAACTTGTGTGTAATTATCTTTAATACTGAAGTTACTCAATAGTGTGTGAATCATCAAAGAATATTTTAAATGGCAGTATAATACATTAAACAACATTCCAACTGCAAAGGGTGTTATAAATAAAGGGTAAATGGTAGGAACTTGGTTTTTAATCAAACCAATAGGTGCAACACCGCGTGTTGGATAAATTCTTACCAGGGAGGTAATTAAATTGTTGATGCTGAGGAATTAGATAACATAATAAAGCTACTTCTTCATATCCATGTTTTATATATATATATATATATATATATGAACTTTTTTTGCTCTATATATATATCTACCTTCCAAGAACAAGACTTCAATACCAATTTTTTTATGTACGATCAATAATACTTAATTTATTTGTTTCTTAAGATGAATTTTTCGTAACTTCAAGGAGTATTAGATTGATTTTTTTAATTTTATTTTAATACTTTTAAAAAAAATTCATATATAGATAAATCTTAAAATACTTCTGAGGTATAAATTATATAGAAGTATATGTTATAACTTCTAACTAAACCAAAGTTATGGACTAACCCATAAATTAACCCAAATATGTATTGTTTATAAAAAAGATTCACTAATGTCTTTTATAACCGCGCGAAGTGCGACAAATCCACTAGTTATTTAATAATAAGGAAGGGCAAGATGAGAGGAAAAGAAAAGGAGGTATCGACGCGATCATTCCAAATCGGCCGTTTCATAAAGTG